ATCGACAAAACAGATCTTCCGAAGCCAATCCGCCTCTCTACTTTAAAAAAGGCCCGTGAGGCAAGGGGTTTATACTGGTTTGCGCATGCATAAATAAACCTTGTCCTATGTTGTTTACAGTATGCTACTCGTTAAGCATTGCTCGTTCATCCACCGGACAAGCCCCTGAGTAGCCATTAATTTGTTGCAGAAGGGAGGATCTGATAAATTAATTATCATAATATTAATAAGTTATATTATTATTTATCGTAATATAGCCATATTTCGTCATGTTACTAGGATCACCTTGACCAGTCGTTTAATGAAATGACCAGAGAAGGTAACAGCTGTCACGCTTTGGTGAACACATCCTCATTTTGGGCTGTTTTAATAGAGAGGAATTAGGAATAAAATTAATTCGTTTTTTTTTCAAATAAGGTGCATATGTGTCAAGTGAACTTAAAATAACCATAAAAAATTCCTCAAAATTTTTCTAGCCTGATATCGAAGAAAGTGGATCATCGCCGAAGTCCGTGACCTTGCTTAACGAAGTGAGCAGTATGGTGTTCGGCTGTGACCATCTGGTCGAACATGTGCACAGTCCGACAGAACTAACGTACTACCACGGCCAGATCGCCGAAGAAGACATGGCCGGCAAACTGAAAAACGACGGTGATTACCTTTTGTGGACGGACCAAGCGGGCAAGCTCAAAATTTCCGTGTTTTGGAATCACACCATTCATCACCTGGAAGTTTCAACGGACCCGAAAACCGGTACCTATCTTCTGCCACGTGGCAATGAAACCGAACCGATCGAAACAGTCAGTAGCCTAGACGAGTGCATCAAAGTATTCGCTATGTACTCGATACCTGCGTGTGGTATTATACTTAAGAAACCAATTAAACTGTACTAGCTGTACTATTAATCAGTCATTCGGTATATATCACCTATGCACAAGTTGATTTATCAGTCTAAACCAACTTAATCATCAAATCCACGATTTAACGTTTATCATAACGTACTTAATTTTAAAGAACCGACTTATCAAGTCGACTTATCATGTCTAGTTTTCAATTTGTGCGTCCATTTTTCAACAGCATTGTCTCATAATACACGAGTTAAGATGCCTTTGCATTTTCCCTATTGATATCGGATTGAAGCGGCGTAATGGCACCGTACCCTTGCATTTAGTCGCCTTGGGGATCATTTAAGTAGGCCACCGCTCCATGGCATTCGAGGACCTGCAGTGCATGGATGCAGAACCGCATCACTAGGCTTGGCCGAGCAAAGGGGCCCGTTCGGACACCTGCAATTATGCGACGATCCGTAGGCATATTTATACAAAAAATAAAACTCGATCTTATGCACTACATGTGCTCAAATTCGGCGGAAGCGTGGCCTGCTTAAATGATGGTCCCTGGGGGACGGTGCTTACGTGGCTTCAATCCGGTATTAAAAACTGAAAAGGATTTTATATCTTAACGGCGGTATCGATAACTAGCAGCATGCTACTAAACCCCTAAGATCGCGTTTACTTTTATGTATGAGTTACTTCCGGTGAGTAGGATTTCTTTAGCAAACCGCTTCAAGACTCATGACGGTTCTTTGTAGCAATCGTGGCGACTCGAATGCACATTCTCAAGCTTATCTTCTGATGCAGTCCCGTCCGTCGGCCATTCGCCGCTCTCTGCGACAGGTGCATTACGGGGTACAACCAAGAAAACAACGTTAACAACAGTAAACAGTGCTAGGACCGTTCATCAGTTTTGCAAATCATGCACTTCATGTGCAAATGAAACATTGCAAAAAGAACAGTAGCTGCAAATAAGACACTGTTTAGGGAAAAGCGGATGTCAAAAACAACATGAAATGAAACGCGATCCGAAAAACAACATGTCGCGTAAAACGGACCTGATGCCAAACTAAGTTCAAGGCAATATAGCAAAATTTTCCACAAAGTGTTAGACGTTTAAGATGAAGTAGTTTCGCACTGACTGGTAGATATGCTTATTAAGATTTTCGGCGTTAGAACTCACTTTTCGAGTACGAATGCTGCCTCAAGAAATGGGACTGGAGCAAAACAACTCCATACATTTTTTCGAAGTATTAATCACGATGAAGGACAAGAAGTATTCTGCTGCTGCTGCTGTGATTCACAAGTCAACACCCAACATTAAGTCACCGCAGTTCGATTTTAAAAATGTATATTGCTAAGTGAAGCACATCCCTAAAATACGCTGACCAGCAGATGCTTCGAAG